GAACCGTGTAGGACCACAAGGGCGGCAAAGCTCTCCCTCAAGAGTTTTAACACTGCTGCATTCCCAGGGCTCGAACACGAGACCACTGATTAAGCTGAAAGAGATCCAAACCATCTCATCCAAACGCTCTTGGATTGTAAATATTAAATATTGATTTTAAAGTTATTGTAATGTAAATATAAAATCTTGATTTTCCACCAAAAGTCAATTGTCAATGTACTACTTAGGATATAAAGGTTGATTCAAGCAAAAGCTGCAGAATACAATGGGCTGTCACTTTAAATGTGCAGAATACAAAAACATTTGATTTTATTTATTTATTTATTTATTTTTATTTTTTTCTTGATTAGTGATTGCAGCTTGAGACGCGTGTTCAGCTCTTTTAACATAGACTCTCCATCACTCTACACAACCTTATTCCCTTTATTTTATCTTTATTTTTGTATATTTTTACGTGAATTAGACCTTAGTTAGGGCTTAATTAGATTGTGCATTGTAATTTGAAGGATAACATTTTTTTCTTACTTGGTATTTATTATTAAATGTAATAGTTACATTTTGTTCATCAAGCAATATATAACTATTCATTGCTTTTCGAACTGTTAAACGATAGGAGTACTTGTTCGTATGTTCGACTCGTCAAACTCGGGCTTGACTTGATTTGTCTGATAACCGAGGATACGTAATATGAATTAATTTGTATGTAATTTTTATAGCTCGGTTCGTTACTGTTGGCAAATGAGCCAAAATGAATGTCGTTTATCGACCTGATTAGGTAACGGTCCGAATCTATATATAATGACTCGAGCCCAGAGTATCATGAGCTCTATAGTTTGGTTAGACTTGTTTAAACCCCTAATCGTTTATATTTCTTGTAATGCATCGATCCATGATATATGGAGCCGTTCGCCTATCCACCATGGCAAAATATTAAAATGTATCCACCAGTCACATGTGAAGATCTCTTGATTTTACATTTACATATATATCGTATATGATATGCTAATATTCTATCACGCTGTTGACATATTAACTCATGCTCAGTTCGACTCTGAAATTATAATACTAGATTTGTAGAATTTATAAAAATAGAAAATCAACAATATTGATAATAATTGATGGCTCTTTTTCCACTATAAATATCTGACACTCCCATCATCCTGGACACAAATCCTACACCTCACTACTCACTGTACACTCTTGCCACCTCTTCCAATCTCTAAAAGCCATTCTTTTTTCTTCATTTTGCCCATCTTTCTGTGTGAGTGTTCATACAAACTTCCAATTTTACATTTGATTTTATTTAATTATAATCATGTCACCATTTTTTTTTTTTAAATATCTTCATTGTATTAACAAAACATTTGCTTGAATGATCACATATTATAGCATAGCATAAGGCATGCAATATATATAATTTCAAATTATTGTCTTTTTTTTTTTTTTTTTAA